AGGGTGGTTTCCACCATGGTCCATCAATGGCCACCATGGACCACCAATGGCCACCATGGTCCCACCTGGGGTCTACACGCTCCAAAGGCACCCTCAGCCTTGCTGCCACCTCCTCGGGGGTCTCGCTGCCCTCGGAGATGATGCCAACAGCGGCCGCGATGGCCTTGGCCGTGATGGGGTGGTCCCCGGTCACCATGATCACCTATGAGGACAATGAGGTGAGACCAGGGTCACTGTGGGCCTCAATGTCCCCATATCCCACATCCCACATCCCACATCCATACCCGGATCCCGGCCGTGCGGCACTTGAGCACCGCCTGGGGCACGGTGGCCCGTGGTGGGTCGATCATGGACACGAGGCCACTGAAGCAGAGCCCTGTGGCCACCTCGGGCAGCTCCTCAGGGTCCATCCCTGGTGCCACTGTCCCCGGGGGCAGCCACCGGGCACAGAACCCTGGGGGGAGATGGGGGGAGATGGGGACATGGGGATGTAGATGGTCCAGCCAATGTCCCCATGTGCAAGCCATGTTCATATGTTGGCATCGTGTCTCCATGTCTCTGTATCCCATCATCTCCCCGTGGTGTCCCTCCATCCCCATGTCCCCATGATGTCCTCTTGTCCCTATCTCCCCCCATATCCCCATGTCTCCATGGTGTCCCTCCATCCCCATGTCCCCACAACGTTCTCTTGTCTCCATCTCCCCATGTCTCGATGGTGTCCCTCCATGCCATGTCTCCATCTCCATCCATGTCCATTCCATGTCCCCATCTCCCCATAGTGTCCCTCCATTCCCATGTCCCACCATATCCCCATGTCCCCACCTCCCCATGCCTCCATCTCCCCCTGTGTTCCCATTACCCCATGGTGTCCCTCCATCCCCATATCCACCCATATCCCCATATACCCATCTCCCCCATGTCCCATCATCTCCTCATGGTGTCCCTCCATCCCCATGTTGCCATCTCCCCCCATGTCTATTCCATGTCACCATCTCCCCCCATGTCTATTCCATGTCCCCATCTCCCCATCGTGCCCCCCTCTACCCCATGTCCCCTCGTCCATCACCCCTATTCATCCCCACGTCCCACCACCTCCCCCTATACGCCATGTCCCCATGGTGTCCCTCCATCCCCATGTCCCACCATCTCCCCATGATGTCCCCATGTCCCCCCTTGTCCCCACTCACCCAGGACCCTCTCCCCGCGCCCCCCCAGCTCAGCGTAGGCCCCCTCGAAGGCCTCCCTCCACTGGGTGTCCATGGGCAGCTCCTGGCCCTTGAGCAGGACGTGGCTGGAGCGCTCCCGGACGCGCTCGGGGGCGCCCCTCCGCTCCCCGGCATCATGGACAGAGACCTATGGACAACCGGGGTCTATGGGTCCCACCAGGGTCTATGGGTCCCACCAGGGTCTATGGGTCCAACCAAAATCCTTTGGGTCCCACGAGGTCAATGAGATTCAACCCAGGTCCTTTAGGTCCAACCCTGGGTCACTGGGGTCCAACCTGGGACCTTTGGGTCCCACCAGGGTCTATGGGGGCCAGCATTGCCCCCATTGCCCCTATTGTCCCCATTGTCCCCATTGTCCCCATTG